AAATGATCTTTGAACCTTATATATGATTTTCATTGATAACGATATTACGATAAGCATTACTAAGCAAATTATTGGCAAATGTATTAATAAGCAAAAATTTTATTCGGTTTTCAAAGTCACATGATACTGATCGAGACGGTTTTTTTGCAAAGAAAAAAATTTAATGCAAATGGACGAAACTTTATTGATAATTTTTAAGAAATAACCATTTTAAATTATAATATACAATTATTAAATACTAGAATATAAATATTACATTAAACAGCTATGATTAATATTAATAAAATAATTAATACGATGATTAAAATCACAATACAACAATTTGATTTTGATTCTATTCAAAAGAAAAACAATTATTAATAATAAAAAATAATAAATAAAACAATAAATAATATAATAAATGAGTCAAACCTTCATTATGTTTAATAATATAAGCTACTTTCCTCATAGCTTTGTCCAATCTTCCTTGAGTTCTATCAACTTGATCTCCAAATTCATCCAACAATCTAAAAATTAGATATAAAAAAATTACTAGGAAATCACTCAAATAAATCATTTTTTTTTTTTAAAAAAAAAAATTTCACACATATTTTGATCCTCTAATTCAGTTCCCATCGTTGTAGCAATTTCATGAATATTTCTGGCAGTTCCATATAATGATTCTAATTGATCATCTTGTTCTCTTAGCAAAATCTATTAATAAATAAAATAATTAATGCGAATCAAGCTTCCTTTAATTTCTTTGAGATATATTATATTTAATTTACAGTTTGTTGTAAAGATTCATTTTCTATGAATTTAGTATTATCCATTTCTATAACTTCTTCATATCTTGATTTTGATCTAACTTGCTCGAATAATTTTGTTGATTTATGTCCATCAATTAATTCCTATATTAGAGAAATTTTTTTTTTTAAAAAAAAAATTAAAAGAAAAAAAAAATTAAATGGGAAAAATGCTTCTCTTTGGGACATACTTGATGACGATTATTTTCCAAGGATCTTCGAATTTCCTATGTTGAACATAATGAAATAAGCTTTTCGAAAATAATTGTTATAAAAATATAAAAAAGAGTAACATAAATTATACCTGTAATCGCAACCTTGTTTGTTCAACAAATTCACGACGTGATTCTATTTCACGTTTTGTTAAACTAAATTTATCAGGGTGATTTTCAACAACTCGTATCTACATTCATTAATAAATGCACATGTTAAGGATTAATACAATAAAAAGGATGAACAATTGTAAATCTAATTATTTTTCTCAAAGAAAAGGATATTTATTGTTTCTTCGACAGCATCCAGATCAGTTGTTATATCTTGTAAGGTTGATTTTAATTCTTCTTCTGTTCTTCGTAATTCTTCATTATTCCTAGATGAAACTGTACTAAAGATACGATTCCAGCTTTCGAATAAGGTTGTTACCGTCGTGAAATTTTGTTCTATTTCTCTACAATGCGTTTAATGCGTTTAAAACAAATTCTTAATTCCTTTTTTCAAGTCAATTATAAACCTTAATAAAGAAATTACTGAAATTTTATTATACTCTTTAACAGTAAAAAATGGATCGTCTGACATTTTTGAAATCTTTCTTTCTTGGGCTTTAGAATTTTTTAAAAAAAAAATAAAAAAAAAAATGATCGTCGAAAATTTTATTTATAATGGACTACCTTGTGCAACATGTTTCATTCTATAAGTAAACTCGATAAAGCATCTCTCGAAGCAGATAACATCATTAATGATGATCCATTGGAATGTCAGATAAGGACGCATGGCTATAATATCATATGCATGCAAGGAAGTGATAAAAATAGATTCGATAAGTTATTGTTTGTTAAATCCATTTCTAGAAGTTATAATAGCTAATTGAATTATGTTTGTACGAGGCCAGAATACCTAATGTACTCATTTTTTTTTCTTTTAGTATGTAAATCATCACGATTAAAACAAAATTCACCGGTTGACATTTTTTTGGATGATCGATTGGGCAACGAACAAATTAAAAGAACGGAGTAAATCTACAACAAATTAAGTGTTTATATAAATTATCAAAAAGGTTAACAAATATTTATTGGCGCCACTAAAGGAACGAAATTAGAAACGATTCACTATAAAATTGTCGTTCTTTTTACCGTTCTGCCCGTACTATATATGAAAAAAAAAACCCTTTAAAAAAACTATAAAATGGGATAATCTTGATTCAAAATAAAAAAACACCCATATATATTACCAATAATTCCTTTCAACAGCAAAAAAAAAAAAAAGAGAAAGAAAAAAACGAGTTTCTCGTTTTTTTTTTTTGAAACGATCTTTTTTTGATTTTGGTTGCTTTGTTAATATAAATATTTACGCAGAATATAAATATTAGATAGAAATATAAGCATGGCAATACGAATAAAGAATACACGTCTATGTTCATCTTTTTTTGTGATGTTTCTTTTATTAAATGCCATTTTGTATTTATATGATGATAATGATATGTCAGAAAAGTTAACAGAGTTCACTGAGCAGTGTGATGTGAGTATATGCCTTAAACGATAAATGCATCTTGAAAATTAAAAAAAAATAAAAATAAATTAATTTTCATTTTTTTTTTTTTTTTTTTTTTTTTTTTTTTTTTTTACTATAGGATCTAGATGATTTTAATGATAATGATAATGTAATTATTAAAAACTATGAATTTGACTTGGATGAAAAATTTACCGATATACAGGAAACACCATCAAATGAACATGAGGAAGCAATCAATCGAAAATTTTGTGGAAAATCCGAATGCAAATTTTTATTTACGTATCTTCAACCGGAACAAGAAACGAAAGCTAATATGCATTTTAGGTCATTTGTAAAACTTGCAAAAGCTCTCAATCGTACGATGGTCTTGACCAATGTCGGACATTCTAGAATTAATGCATGTCAAAATTTCGCATTTGGATTCTATTATAATGTTAAAGCTTTACGAAAGATGTTTCCAGACGTAAAATTTATCACACAAAAAGATTTTCAATGTTGGTCGAAAAAGAGAAGAATCAAACCTAACACGGAACACGTAAAAATTTTACCTGGTGGAAAAATTCAATCTATGAAATTGGTTACACCTTATCCCGATTTACTTAAAACGAAAAGTTGCCTTAATCGATTCGGATTTAAGATGGATGATCAAACCGTTTTTAAACAATTCTATACTGGTCAAAAAAGTCTAGAATCAATTAAAAAACAAACAAAATTCTCCGAATTTCTTATAAATAATCTCAAAACGGACGTCGAGATATTGTTAACAACACATTTAGTATATTACCCATTATTTCCAAATATCTCAAATCCCATACCATACAGTAATCATAACTTTGAAGAGGCCTCAAAGATTATTAATAGAATTAAACCATATGTGGCGATTCATTGGAGGATGGAAAGGGCAATACTTGATAAATTACCTGAATGCGCCGAAGCGTTAGTTAAAAAGCTTCAGAAGATTAAAGAATCGCAAGGGATTCAAAACGTTTATCTTGCAACGGATTATCCAATCACCGGAGGGACAACACAATCTCAAACTTTTCATCTTTTAACCGAAAAACATCATAAAGCTATTAATCTCTTAAATTCAACATTTAATATTCACACGTGGTCGTCTTCGAAAATCTTTGCTAACTTAAGAAATGATGAAATGATTGAAAAAGAATTTTCAGGTGCAGGAATTCCGGGAATTGTAGATAAATTGGTTTGTATGGATGCGGACTATTTTTTGGCGACCCCTGAGGGATGTGGAAGAGCCCAAAGCACATACACGACAATGATCATTAATGAAAGAGAAAAATCAATAGAACTTGGCGTTAAACCACAATTAAAAAATATCGTTGAAAGATGGTGAAAAATAAGATTTGGCAAATTATACTTAATGTCTGTACATAATTCATCTTAAATTTATAATAAAAAAATTTAATTAACGATTATAAACCATTGTAATGTAATAAAGTTATTTCGACTTTTGCAATGATTGGATTGGCATCCCTGTGTCAACCCCTACATTACGTAAAAAAAAATATATTAGTATGTCCTTTTTAGTAGGTTACAAAACCTAAGCCACCCGGAAATTACATTTTTTAGTTGCGATATGATAATCATCAATTATGGCGCATTATAAATTTTATTAATAAACCTCGGGTACACGAAAATGGTACAAACCCATTTTCGCGACCTTTATATTTGAATGGATCTTGAACTTTAAATTTTTCTTAGATTCCAAGAAATTTGATAATCAACATGGATAAATTCGATTTTTTTGGTGCAATTCCTTCCGATCTTCCAATTCCTGTCATTCCAGGTATAACCTCTTCGAAAAAACTACCAAAAATACAGACATCACAACCACAAACTTTACCACCAGATCTGTTGATTAGAATTCTTGGATATCTCCCCATTACCTCTCTACCAAATTTTGCAAGAGCATGTAGACGATTTAAAGTTTTGGTTTATGATGATGAATTATGGGAACAACATTTGAAAGTACTAGGAATCTGGAAAGATTACGGCAATGGTGACATCATGAATGCTCCTGTAGAACCATTATACGTTAATGCAAAACATACTGTGAGAGGGAAAGCTGCTATGATGTTAAATGATTGTTCAGAATTTGATCCTATAGCTACACCTCCAGCTTCACCCACAACACCTAACCATACTGGAAATCTATTAGATTTTGCGATAAAAACGGCACGTTCTCATAAAACTCTATCCTTAATCCCCGGTCTTCCTTCTGATCCTTTCTCTCAAAAGTCTCGTGCTGCATCTACTGGTGCTGCAAGAACTGCATTCAAAAAGATTTATAGAGAACTTCTGCCATATTATTTAGATTTCAGACATAGAAGGAAGGATAGTAGATTATTTAAAGAGTATAATGATCCGGCAGATCAAGCAAAGATGTTGGCAAGACTAATTAATTTTGGCAAAATAAATATTACGTTAGATTCTGAACAGGTTTGTGCGTTGAATATTAAGAGGATAATATTTTTATTCACATGAAATAATTGATCATTTTTTTTATACCTGATAGATTAATGGTGCGCTGGAAACAACCATTGAATATTTTGAGAACTCTGCACTCCACCATTTTGAATTGGCATATAATGTCAATAATACGACGGAAATGCAGGTTTATTTTTTTAAATTTTCAAATAAGTTTGTTTATTAATATTGTCTATAGTAACGTTAAAGTTACTATCTTTTTTTGTATTTTTGTTTTTTTTTAAAAAAAGAAATGGGCGGCTATTCTTTTGAATCTGAATGGAGGCTCAGCATGTATACAGGTTTTTATACAAAAGAATTCTATATTCTTTGATTATCTTTATAATCCTCTGGACAATTTTACGTGAGTTTTCTTCAATTATAAAAATAAAAATAAAAATTAAATGAACTAATCATGCCCTCTCTCATTAGATATGGATCAACATCGCATCTCAGTGAATTAAGTTATGCTTCGATGAAAGAATTTTTTAATTATGTAGAAGAAGAAATAAAAAAACAAGCTATTTTAATCAATCAGGTATTCCCACAGGATGCCGACGTGTTTTATACCTTTGTCGAGCGTGTTGTTGAGGATGTTGTAAGTACTTATTGAATAAAGATCACATTTTTAGTTATTTTCAATCTAAATAAGTCGAGTGTCTTCTTTGATAGATTATAGAATACATATCAAAACTATTGGAGAAAGCTCGCAATAAGGATATTAGCTTGTATTTGAAGACAACAGTGGCAGCTCATCAGCGTTGTATAAAAGTCATAAAAGTTCTTTGGCAAGAAGCCAAGCCTGGCTTAACCAAAATAAGAGCCGAAGATCTAATGTACCAGATGTTTGAACCTTTTATGGACAACTATTTGAAAGAAGAATTGAATTATGTTAGGGCACAAAGTGAAGAAATTATTGAAAAATGGAATCAAAAGGTGACAATGTAACATGATCATATTGTTGAAAATACTTTCTTTATACACGTTATGTTGAATTAGAATTTGCGATAATAACTTTGCTTTTATAACTTCCAATAGTTGTTGGACAAATCGATAGAAGCGCAACAGGCCATTCTTCATAATGCAAACAGAGAGATTTACAAACGTAATTACCTCACCTCCTTTCGAAAAATTTTCAAGCTCTCGACAACGCGTTCACGTCATTCTTCACAAACTCAATCATCCACTTCAAGTACTCCTCGTAATAAACGAGCTAGTGTTGCAAGCAATGCTTCTAATCCTCCGCTAAGCCCAACAGATCTTCAGGCAGCTTTATGGAATGCTAAATTGGACAAGATGCAACAAATGCTTAGTTTGGAGACAGCCTTGCAAATGGTTCACGTGAACAAAGATTCATTATGTAGAGTTTCTGCTTTTGTTGGATATCCTGATAAGATGGGATTCAGAATGTAGGTAATTTTATTTAATCCTTTTATATTAATTTGCAAATGCTTTCTTCTGATGTTAAAGAAATTCTTTATCTTTTTAGTAAAGAAACTTTGGAATCAGTATTTGTTATTCTTCTTCAGATACTAGGGCCATTACATATTAAACCAGGATTTGATACGTAAGTTCTTGATAAATTTTTAATAAATAAATTTTTAAAAAATATTGATACTTACAAATTTCACATATGCATTTTACACGTTTATTATTAGTGCCATAAAACATCTTGGTGAATTTAAATCGGATCCAGAATCTACTTCGTCTGACGTTGCACCTTTAGTGGAATTCTTTGAGTTGGTCCATATTGCTGATTTAATCCAACAAATGGTGCAAGTATATTATGATGAAGAAATGGTAATATAGTGCTCCATCACACATCATTTATAAAAATTGTCAGCTAAATTTTCGTATCTAAACGCATATGTTTAACAAGTATCTATTTTTAGAATAAATATGTGGATAAAACAGATTTTTTAAATCATTGTAATAAGGAAAAAAAAATCTTTGAAAAAGTCCTTGACGAAAGCGTTGCTGCTGGATTAAACAAGGGAATTCAGGTATATCGAATTGATGTACTTGATAAATGAATTTATTTTAAAGGACAATTTAATATTCATTTTTACCAGGTTTTAATGCATCACGTGGAATTTATTCTTGCTACAGAACAAAAACCAGAAGAGTTTAAGCCGGCGAGCGATGCTTCACTTGATTTGCAACCAACCAAGGTAAATATTGTATATTATACACATATATATATCTCGTAATGGCGGTTGTTATAATTTGAACTCATTTATTTCATCTTAAATCGAAAGGCATGTATCAATGCTGTCGAATGTCTTTCTAGTCACACTAAATTAGTTGTCGGTTGCTCAGACAAGCATACTTTAGATGTCTTCTTCCAGGAAATTGGCCTTCGGTTTTTTGGGTAAGTTTACTACATAGCGGTTATATTTCTTATTTTGAATTTCTCTTATTTATTTATTTGTTTTATTTAATTTTAGGATTTTGACAAAACATCTAATGAGATTTACGGTGAGCCTAAGCGGTGGGTTTCAAGTCATTAGGTAAGATTCATTTAAATATTAAATTCATTGAATTGTACAAGTCAGATCACGAAATTTATGAAATTTTACTTTTACTTTATTTAAAGTGATTTGAATCATTATTGTTCTTTTATTATTAATCTACATCAACAAAATATTACACCATACTTTATCGCGCTTAAGGAACTTGGAAATATTTACATTATATCAAATGCACGTGATATTGGATTATTCGTGAGAGAATCAGAAAGGTTTAATGGTGTTTTACGTGCGGAAGATGTTTATGAATTTTGCCAGAAACGGGAGGATTGGATGATAATTAAAAAAGAAGTGGATAAGGAGTTATATGGACTAAAAGCGGAGGATTGTACGATTACTTAATTATTTATAATGCGTCGTAACATTCTGTAAAATTTTTGTACCATTAGTTTTTTAATTTTATTCTGCGATTCGCGGATAATTGTACATCTGATTAATATTTCATATTTTGTTAACATTGTAATTTTTTTATTTGAAGATTTTTAGTATTTTCTTCATGGAAAATTAGTGAATCGCACATATTTTTGTTTTATTAAATAATAAAACCCAACAAAATAGAATACTACCTGAAGGCGCAGTGGATAAAATTTCAATGATGATCGACACACGAGGAATGAAACCCATTTGGGATGCAGCTATTAACCTTATTAAACGTAAAGGCATTTATTCATTTGCCTGCCAATGTTTCGCAAAAAAAAAAAAAATTTTGTAATGTTATAAAAACCTCGTCCTTCACCCTTTCCAAAAAACCAAAACGTAAAACTTAATGATAAACAAAATAAATCAAATAAATCCATGACTCGATTTTAATAATAAACCCAAATATTCAAAATAAATGCTACATTAATAAATTAATAAAATACATGAAATGTTTATAATACACAGAAAATACGTGTGTATTATATAAATTTTCAAAATGCAAGAATAATGGCGGGCGGTGTCTCAGAAGGTCAATTCGCTCGCCGTTCTTAATTTTAAGGGGAACGCTTTAAGAAAAAGTACAATCCCTGCGATTGTAATACACCTGATAATAGGTACAAGGAAGATTCACCATATTGGCATTTGGATGGATCATGTCCCAAGTGTCAAGTTAAATATGTTGACACTTATTTACATTTTACAAATCTATACAAATCGGTTATTAACACAACATTTAACCAAATAAATCGATTATCATCAATTAGGTTCTGGTTGCATCAGGAAAAAAGGCCATGGTAGAAGAAACAATTATATATGGGTTTTAATGATGGTTTAGAATAACAGTATATAAATGGCCTTTCAATCTTTTCGATAAATGGAGGCTGTGGATGGAAAAGTTGGAATGGATTCCATTTGAAACTGGATTATAGAAGAAAATTATAGTCATATTAAAATTCTAGAATATTTAATAAATTAAAACGATAATCAGATACAATTTTATAATTTTATAGACTTTGTGGTAATTAACTATATCTTGTGACTCGGTTTTATTAATTTTTTATTTTTTTTTAAAAAAAAAAAAAATTACACGTGGATGAATCAAGTTAAAATAAATAACGTATTTTTAATAATACATCAGATCTATAATTATAAATTCTATTCTAAATAATTTTCTCACGCGAGCTCCAAAATAATTTTTCACTCGCGAACAATTTCTTCAACAATTACATTTCTATCGCTATAAATGTAAGCAACAAACTTGCCAGATACATTTTTTTCCCAGGTACTAAATACTATGACATAACCTTGATCGGATGAGGGAAGTGCTATATCATCCGTGCATACACCCTGAACAAAACTAGCATAATGTCCAGAATTAGCCACTTCTTTACCAAGTGAATTATTTGAAAGCTTCTCAAATATTTTGATATGTATCATCGGTGTAGGACTTATTTCTGGTGTTTGAAGCCTAATTCTATAGAGATATTTTCATAATTTAGTAAATGATGATTGTTATTGATAATTCTAAACAAAAAACGAATGGTATTTACTTGACAATAATCATTTCTGAAATCTTAAGGTGGTAACTTGGATTTAAGTAATAATCATTGTGTCGATGGCAACCAACAGCATTAACACCCTCAATCCTATTAAATCAAATCAAATCACATAAATAAAGGTTAATAAGATTAAAATTAAGAAGAACGTAAATAGCTTCAATTACCATTGTCCATGAATTACTTCCTTGAACATTCCCTAATAATAAAGTGAAATCATTAACCACTATTTGAATAGTTTAAAATTCATTTATTTATCTCTTAGATGACTTACGGCTCCTTCGAGTGGAATAGGAGTAACGTTAAATGTGACATCTGATGCTACAGTTAATATGAAATCCCCAATAAGACCGGGTTCATATGTTGATACAACAATAGTATAATCACCGGCTATTTAAATAATTTTGATTAAATTTATATATTCTACCAATAATAGTACATAATTTTATTTCAAATCACATACGTTTTACATCATCCTTTTCACAATAGCAAAATCCGTTACGATAACCGGTAGATTTCATCAATATGTCCTTGGGAACAAGACTACAAGGAAAAAAAAAAAATCAGTACAACGAAAAATATCGATGAATATCTCTCTTATTCATACCTAGCTATCCTTTTTCCATTGCTCCATACCATTCTGACATCTATCGCATGCTCCCTAGGTCCTTCCAACATTAATAATAGTCGAGCCTTATCCGACGACGTTGGTGGCATTATAGAAACACGAAACTCTGGGTTATTTAAATATGTTTTATTACTTGCATTTCCACCGGCTGTTTGACTTGTCCATTGACCAGAAATCTAAATAAGGGTTGAAAAGTATTAAGCTAAATCTATGAGCAAAGAACAAGAACGATCCAAATGAAAATATGAATTAATACATGCATGCTTCACATTCGGGTAATTCTTCGGAACTTCTGATAAAATGACTTTGGACATACAGTAACATTTAAGTGTAAAATCCAAGGATTTAGCTTTTTCGATTTGAGCAACAACAATGGTATAACGTGAAACACCCGTTGGTGCATTAAACCGGACCTTCATTAGAATAAAAATCAATTTTTAATTAAATTAAACCAAATTACAATATATCTTCATGCACGTACCAGTATATGTGGACTGTTTACATATGCACCCTAAATTTTGTATAGGAAATTCTTCTTTAATATGAAATAAAATAAAACAAATGGTTTTATGTATGAAAATTACCTGTTTCCAAGGCGTTCTAGGATAATAAATCTTTTCTCCATTTGTATCATTATAAATGTGTAGCGTGATGTAATCCTTATTCTCTTCTGTCACAGTGATATGTTTGGTCAACAAAAGACGAACCGGAGATGGATGCTCGCTATCGTTTGTAACTTCCAAGCAAAACTGTGGATAATATCCTAATAAATTATGGTATCATCTTGATCTGAATGATTTAAAGAATTAATAACCATATCTGTTTCGAGAAAATTTACCTAAATTCAAAATGTCTTTTTGCAACTTAACATTTGCAGGCCATGTGCTATTAATGAAAAAAGAATTGTTAAGGTTTATAAAAGAAAATAAAGAAATAAGGCAAAATACTTTGAAAGACTCACGAGTGTTTAATAGCCGTATAAGGGAAAAGTTCTGGATTCCAATTCATGTGGATCGAGAAAAAATTCTGACATACAGAATCATAATCAATCCAAAATATTCCTATCACAAGTAAAATCATAATAAATAAAGTAAACAATGTGGTTGTTCTGAAGACAGGCATACATACCATCATCAGCGTTCAATGCATTCTCTCTATCATAATCTAGCGTTTTTATTAATTCAGGCGTCCAATTGACGTTATCCAAATGACTAAATGGACCCATCCATCTTTTATGACTCCATGGATTTTTAACCTTAAAAAATATATCATTTGTTATTAAACTTAAATTTAAAAAATTTAAGAATAACCGGGATACTCTTACTTGCAATAAACAGAAGCCATTCGCCTCACGTATATCTAATAGTGAATGTAATTAATAAGAGCTTTAACTCATTTAAAACAATAATCAATTATATACGCTACCTAAAACAGCATAAGCATGAATAGGAACTAATCCAAGGGAATCAGCTTCTGCATCACTCAAATAGCCAGTAGCAATGGTAACAAGCGCATCTCCTGTTTATTGAATAGCAGTATGAATAAAAAGGATTGCTTTTTATATCGGAATTCCTATATCTGTTATTTTACCATATCTTTGACCGTCCAAGAGCCGCTTCCACGTAGTTTCTTTTTCAAAATCTTTGCTAGTAAAAAAAGGAAAGATGTCAAGGAATGTTTAACGAAATTCAAAAATAATTCATATATAAAGATCAAAGCCTTACTCGTCTATAAAAATATGTTCCGGAATCCATCCAGTAAGCGCACTAAAAATAACTTGAATTAGCAATGACGCTTGATTTTTCTTTTTAAAAATTTAATTTAACTTACTAGAGGTCAATCCCGGAATTCCTTATAATTCAAAGTGAAATATTTTTTTTTTCAGTAAATAATTTTTGTTATAATAGATTCAAAAGGAAAGTTATATCCTTACGATCCCGGGAAATCATAACCTCCCATTAATTTCAAATACTAAATAAACAATAAACGTTAAAAATAAATTAAATAAGAACAACAAAATTTCTTTAAACTTACGGCTTTCTCTATTATACTTGGCCATAATTCGTCCTTATTTGTCGAAAATGTGCACATAAGAGTTCCATCGCGAGAAAGTGGAAGTAAGTCATCAACAACTTTTTGAAAAAAAAATTTTTTTTTTTTTTTTTTTTTTGCAGAATCAGTTGAAATATAGCGTTTTTATATATCAAAATGTAATATTGATAATTAAATTATGATTGCTACTGACTTTACTCACCAACCTAAATGAAAATTTAAAAAAAAAAAATATTATTAATACAATACATTTATAAAGAATTTCTGTATCATAATGACAAACTTACTTTTCTTGGAATTCCATTGCAAATTAACCTTATCATATATTTTCCGCTTGGATTGTAAAATGGATTACCGAATTTATTTTTAGGAAAAATACATCTTGTAATCAACTAACAAATAAACAATAAATAAATAAATTAATCTATATATAAAAAAAAAAATTAATTAAACTCTTACCTGCTTATTACCAAATCGTTTTTGATATGCTGCACTGACACATAATGACGCTACGAATGAGCAATCTGTTACAATATCCTATAATCCACAAAACGAAAAGATCGTAATATGAGTCATCTGCGAATCGATTAAAAAATCTCCTAATAATAAAATAAAAACCTTACTTGTTTGATTGCTGCACTTGAAATCATTGTAATCATTTTGGGTTCTTCCATTATTTGAGATGGACGTTTCCATGAACCAAAATTTGCTCTCTGAATTATCGACAAGTTCAAAAGTCCATCATCATCTCTATATTTAAAGGTAATAAACATGAGTCAACATAAATAATTAGAGTATCTTGTAATCAATAATAAACATACATAAATGGTTTGTCGTATTCGAATTGTTCGTTTATTTCTTCAGGCCATGGAGGAAAGATTTTGTTATTTATTTGTGAATTTTTTTCAAGAACTTCAATTTCCATACTAGATAACCCAAAATTTGACGAAGACAACGAAGAATTTTCTGCGTTTGGATTAGCTGATTTTAGAGCTATTCATTTAAATAAATAAAATTTAGAAATCAAAACAAACAAATTATTTTTCAAACAATTAACTTACATAATAAAGACAGAGAATTAGTCGGTAATCCTTTCAAATCTTCAGCTCTTTCAAAAATTTGATTCATCCGTTCAGTCAATTTCGCTCTAATAGAATCATCCTTAGTTTCTATTTATAAGATTGTAATTTGAATAATATATTAATCTATTTGTTCTATTTGTTATATTAAAATATTTTACTATATCATATAGAAATAAATAACCTTTCATAGCTTTCATAAATAATTCCAATGATTCCGTATACAATTCTAAAGCCATTTGATTATTTCTTTGTTTATCTTGTAATAAAGCTTGATCCGATTTAGACTAAATGACATTGTAAATGCTATGATGAACATTCTTTTTTCGTGATTTAGAACTCTTGAATATTAGAGAAATATATATAAAACCTGAGCCTGCTTCAATAATTGACCGAAAATTGACAATTCGGGCAGAACAATACTTTTTAGTTCAGTAATACGTCTGTTATACTCTTGATATTTTTCAATGATTTTGTTTTTCTTAATTTGATTTGTTTCAACTTATTAATTAACAATGAATTTTTGAATTATTTAAAGATTTTAATTGAAGACAAATACAAAACTCAATTGAAAAAACTCACATTGTAAAATCGATTCAAAAATCTAGTAAATGGTGAATTTATAAATCAAATTTCCAAGTTCATTTTGAAATGTGTGCGAAAAAAAAAAAAAATAAAAAGTAAAAAAATTCAATTTACCTTTGTAACATCTGAATAAGATTTTATAGCAGCTTCAACATTGCCATTTTGATCATCTTTGACAGCATTTTCCGCAATATGTACAGCTTGCTGATAAAGTAAGGAAAGTTGATTATTTGCACTCTGATAATTAACGCTCATTTTTCTCGAGGGAAGAAAGATTAGTGTGCCTGATCGTATTTATTTGGTTATCAATGTCGATCACTTGACGCCAAAGCTTTTTTTTTAGCATTAGATCTTCATAAATATTTGTTTCATTAAATAAAAGTCCGCGATAATGCTGCGCCACTAAAAAAAAATGACTTAAAGTAGTTTTAAAAATGCCATGCTAGAATTGTTTAAAACAATAATAAAATTATAATAACTGGCTAAATTACAATTATGTCGCTATATTCTGAACGTAGTGACTTTTGAAATTAGCTGTACACCGGACTTAATAATATGACAATTCTTTCTTGACCCATGATAATGTTATTTGGCGATTCGAAATTTAATATTCAACAAAATTTTTTTATTTAACAAATACCAAAAATAGTAATATATAATTTTATTGAAAAATACTATCCATTGTTGATTGCTCTTGTGTGTCAATAGTTTCATTGAAATACAGCCTTCACCTTTTCTGCTTTTTTTTTTCTTGACATTTTAAAACTCCTTTTATTTGCTTTAAGAAAAAAAAATTCAATATGTAACGCGACAAAATTAAAAATGTCAATTTTGAATATAAAATCTGGATCCCTGCAGACATCTAACTAGTAGTTATTATAAATCAAAGTATTATTCATTTAATAATACCATACGTTTTGATTTAATTAGTTCTCATCAATAATAATTGTGTTACGTTGATCCTGATTTTAATGTTTAAAGACATTAATTAATATGAACTTAATTTCCATTTTTTATTAATTAAAAAATAAGGTAATCACATATAGTTTTGATTTAGTTGAATGATATAATATATATTATATTTGGACGTAGTCTGAACAAAAAAATACTCTTTTTACTTATATGAAAACCGAAAAACACGTAAATAATCTCACCGCTTACATTGATTGGTTAGAAAAGGCAATATCAGAAGACTATATCAAATACTATGATTATGAAAAGTTCACCAATAAGGAAGAAGTTAGCAGTGGTTCTTATGGAAATATTTCTCGTGCAAACTGGAACGGTTCCGATACCGTTATGATTCTAAAATCTTCATACAATTCAGATATCAAAGAAATCGTTAATGAGGTATACCTTTAACAGATATTACAATGTAATCAATTCTCCTCTTTTATGATCAAATTTACAAATTTGCTTTAACGGTAATATAATAGATAAAAATGCAACGTGAGATCGATTATCATGCGAATATCATAAAATTCTATGGAATATCAAAATTAGAAACGGATTCCATTAACCGAATAAATAAGTATTTGTTAGTTATGGAGTACGCCGATGGCGGATCATTACATTCTTATTTAAAAGAAAATTTTGAAAAACTTGAATGGAGTGATAAATATAAATTAGCCTACCAACTTGCGGACGCATTAGCGTGCATGCATGATGAAGGAATCATTCATTGTGATTTGGTAGAGTGTTTAGTCATTTAAATTATCTCGTCTTGATTTTTTATTGTCCATACTAAATATTATGAACATTACATATATAGCATGCGCAAAATATACTTTTACATCAGAATAATGTAAAGCTAGCGGATTTTGGTTTATCTCGAAAGATAACTGATGCAACTAATCATTTAACGGATGTGTTTGGTGTCGTTCCTTACATTGATCCAAAATATTTTAATAATATTAAAAATAAAAACAAAAGCCAACATTATATATTAAATTCTAAATCTGATGTCTACAGTGTTGAAGTTCTACTTTGGCAAATTTCAAGTGGACATAGGCCTTTTAATTCTAAGAACGAAGAATATGATGTGAATTTAGTTATGGATGTTAAAAGAGGCCGAAGAGAAATTATTGTAAAGTATACACCTATTGAGTATAGTGACAAATATGAACATGAATTTTATTTTTTATATAATGATATTAAAGCGACAATATTTAAACTTTATTAGCATGCTGGAATGATGATCCAAATAAACGACCAAATATGCAACAAGTTGTTGAATCACTTAGGGCAATTATTTTTGAGGATAATAAAACATTTCGATCGATTATTCATACAGAAAATCAACAAGACTCGCCAAATGATATGTATTCGAATTCAGCATCTGTAGACATGCATAGTAACAATTCTGAGTTGTTTTTAAGCAAATTGATACAAGAATACAACTTAGATTCAATAGACAATTCACATATATTATATCAAATAGAAAAATTATTTTTGGAAATATTTGATAGAAAAGATCGTATGGATATTCTCATTTTGATAAGTTGATTGAACTTTTAATTAAAACACAAGATGCGGGAAATAATTTTAATGAAACAAATCGTTTTATTAATCAATATTAATGTATATTACTTTCAAACCGAAATTCAAATGATGTCTTTGAATGGCTTAAAGAGAATCAAGTGGAATCAAAACACGTCTTTCTCATGGGATTTTTCTATTAGAATAATATTATTTTTGAAAAAAATGAAGATGAAGCATTTAAACTGTTTTTAAGTGCTTCAACAAATAATCTTGCAAAATGTTATGAAGATGGATATGGAATTGAAAAAAATCATGATTTAGTATTTAATTGGATACAAAACGCCGTAGAAAATAAAAGTATCTTTGGAAATTTAATCTTGGTATATATTTTCGAAAAAAATGAGATTAAAGCATTTGAAACATATATGATACTATCTGAAAAAGGATATATAAGTGGAAAATATAGACTTGGAATTTGTTATTATTTAGGAATTGGAACTGAAATTAATAAGAAGCGGCATTTAAAATATGCAGAGATTTAGCCGATAAAGAATCTAGTCATGCACATGATTTATTAGGTTATTTATATTATAATGGTGAAGAAACCAAAAAAGATCTAAATGAGGCTTTTAATTGGTATCAAAAGCAGCAGAAAATGAACACAAAAATGCGTAATATAATCTTGACTACTTACAGTATATTATAATGGTGAAGGAATAGAAAAGGATTTAGAAAAGGCATTTTATTGGTATCAAAAAGCAGCAGAAAATGGCAATGAATTAGCAAAGTATATTTTTAGATATATGTTATCAAGATGGAAAACGAACTGATAAAAATTTAGAAAAAGCATTCTATTGTATCAAAAAGCAATAGGATATGATTATGAAATAACGTTTTATGATTTAGCTAAATGTTATCAAGATGGAATTGGAATAAAAAAAAATTTAGAAATTGCTTTTACTGGTTCAAAATGCACCTGTAAAGGGAGATATAATCTTATTGAATCACGAATAGAGGTTGGAGCCAATTTGATTTTGAAAACCTGGTTTAAACTTAAGCCAAAATCCAACCGGTGTTAACCCGATTTTGAACCGAAACCAAGTTAACCAAACAACAAATAAAATCTGATCCTAAGAAAAGATTTATTTAACTTTTTCTTAATACAATTCTTTGTGTAGTTGGTTATTTGTCAAGTCTATATGGAGACACGATAAAGGTTGAAAGTGTAAATTTTCTCAACATTATTCTTTGATCAAAGCGGATTTTTGGGGTTTATATACAAAATTTCTAAATACTTAACTTTTTCTATTTTAAAATAAATATAACGAAGATGTCTAATATAATTAACGAACATAATGTTTATTATAAAAATAACAAATAAAATGCAATTATAATAAATTTAAGAAATATATATATAATCAAAAAAATATAAAAACGATAACTATGTTTATTTAAAACCGAATCAAACCGAAAAATCGAATCAAATTAAACCGGTTGAACCGGTTTGAATTAAGTTATTTTATATTTGATTCATGAATTATAACTTTAAAATTTTTTATTCGTATTACAATTTTTCAATAACGCAAAAATACCAATTTTTATTAATGCAACATATACACCATTGAGCATTTTCCAAATATAACAAACATTAACACGCCACGCCACGTTTTTTACATCCACTAATAAGATTATGAATATTCAAATAAAGAATTAATCCAATCTAAGTACAAATTTTCATAGGATTAATATTTTATCAAACTAAATTCCAAAAAACAAGAAATTCAATATAAAATTCGAACAAGATTGATACCTCTAATGTGAGGCAAAGCATTTGATTATTTTCAATCAATAAATAAATCTCCAAAAGTATTTATTTTTGCGTCTTTTTTATTGGATGTCATTAATTTTAATAATTTATAAAATATTGAATATGATCATAGAATTTCGCCGTTTAGAGCAGGAAGAATGCTAAGCTAAGCTACCAAACTTACATTTATAATAAAATTTTCGGTAGTTGACTGAACTTGAGCAATTTCCATCTTGTCTTTAATTAAAATAAATTTAAGTAACAATTATTTATTTTAAAATTAAATACAAGAAATGATATATACCTGAACCATTGATTTTCAATTCGGTAAAATCAATATTTAAAGACTCTATTACATAAAAATGTTTAATTTAGGGTGAAATTAATCTACATAATCCTAAAAAGAAATTTATGAAATTTTTTTTTTTTAAGGCAAAGAAAGTTCATAAATACCTGAATATTTCATGCATGATATATCATTGTATTGTTTATAATAATCAACTGAATTTTTTGGTTCAGGAAGATTATTAAAATTAAGTAACCTACTTGTATATGTGGCTTCAGGATGCGTTTTATATTTCACAGCTAAATTGGTTGAAAGAAACCTGCTTGATCTATTTTTAGCTAGTTCCGCTTCTTTGATTTGCTTATTTAATTCTGTTTGAGAATTTTCATAAATTTCTAGTTTCCATTTTGCTAAAATTTCCTTAATTTCTCTTGCCGTCGGTCTATGTGATGGAATTGAATCCAAGCATCTTTTAATCAAATGTAAAATTAATTTGGGTATTTTAATATTAAAGCTGGGTCTCAACCCTTGGCAGATATTTAATGCTAAAAATTTGTTATGAGCCTTATCATGATAAGGTGGTAATCCCGAGATTACCTCATACATAATTATACCAAAGCTATAAACATCAGAAGCCTTGATATAATCTTTTCCTTGTAAAACTTCAGGAGCCATATAAGGTAAAACACCATATATGTTATTATTGTTGGGATCAAATTTCTTATAATCGACAGGTTTGCACAATCCCATGTCAGTAATAAAAGAATAAAAGTAAGACTTTACAATATTTCCAGCATGCAAATCTCGGTGAATTAGTCCTTTTGCATGAATATTTTCAAGCCCGGATGCAATACTATGCAAATTATCAATCTTAATATACCAATTCAGATTCGAATTCTTGAATAAATAATCTCGCAAACTCCCGTATACGGCATATTGCATTACAATTATATAATTCTTTGTAATCGGTTCTTGAGTTATTCCGTAACATCTAATAATGTTTGTCATCGCCTTTTCAGCTACTTTATAATATGATGCAATCTAAATTAATAAATCAATTAATTTAACGAATGAAAATTTGAAATAATTTTTCAAATAACAATTACAACAAAAATAATTTCATACCTCGTTAATAAATTCTAAAGTGGCATCTTTTGAATTATTCAAAATTTTAAGAGCTACATATTCTGGACGATATCTTTCCCATTTAAGTTTTTTTATATCCAAATTGGTTATAAATCCGTCTTTCCATTTTGCTCTGTACACTTTTCCATATCCTCCTTCCGCAATATATTCGATATCATAGAATCTATCATATGGTATCCATTCTAATAGCTCAAATTCATTATCTGCTAATAATTGAACATGTTGAATAAATTCATCTATATCATCATTATCACTAGTCCAATTACCAAAACTTTTTTGAAACCTTTTTGAATTACAACAATTCACATCCGTGATGTTACATTTTATGCAATTTTTATAATTTAGACGTAGCTCTTTCACTTCTAAATAAGTCTGTAAACTTATGTACTCCAAAACAATTATATAATTCTTTGTATTTGGATTTTGAGATATTCCATGGCATTTAATATTTACCAATTTATTTTTAATAACTTTATAATATGATTTGACCTAAATAAATAAAATAATTATTTATATTTAGCAACGATCAGTTTTAGAAAATTCTTAATAAAAAATAAAGATAATTGATTACTTCGTTGATGAATTTCAATGTATCCAAATTAGTAATTTGTAAATTATTCCAACTCTCAAGGATTACCGATTGATAACAACCGATATTACACCAATTTGCTTTGTAAACCGTACAAAGCTTGCCTTTTGTAATATATTCAACATCATAAAATCTGTCATAAGGTATCCACTCTAATTTCTCATAATGGTTTTCTGCTGCTAACTGTATACTTAGAATAAATTTGTCAATATCATCATTACCACAAGTCCAATTATTGAATTTGTTCATAAATCTTCTTGAATTGCAAGTCTTACACCATTTATAACCCGTATATATTTCACTGCATAATTCACACATTCCATATTTTTCAAATTGTTTTAACCCTTTGGTATCATCCATAACAAACATGTAATGATTTGTATACGGATCTTGCGTGATTCCATAACATTTATGGATTTTAAAAGAAATTGTGTTGAAAAATGAACGTGCTTGTTTGATAAAGTTTGTTACATCTTGCAAAACGTCCAAACTTTTAAGGAAGCATGATACATCCCTCCACGTTGCTTTATATTCCGCATCTTTGGTAATATATTCAACTTCAGAAAAGCTATCGTAAGGTATCCACTCTAAAATTTGACTTCTTTGCTTTGCCGATAACTGGGTATTTTTAATAAATTCATCGATATCGTTATTACCACTAGTCCAACTATTGAACTTTTGTTGAAACCTTTTGGAACCACAAGTTTGACACCATTCATATCCCGTATTTACTTGATTGCAATCTCCACACTTTCCAAATATTTTTTGTTGGTTTATTAAATCAGTGTCTTCCATAACGATCATGTAATTTTTTGTGTGCGGATCTTGAGTTATTCCATAACATTTATTTCCGAATTCAATTATAAATGAACGAACATTTTTGATAAATTTTGTAGAATCTTTTGGATCGTCCAAAATTTTAAGAAAGCATGATACATCTCTCCATGCGGCTTTATATACCGAGTCTTGTACGTTGCATTCAACATCATAAAATATTTCATAGGGTATCCATTCTATTACCTCATCGTTGCTTTTTGCTGCTAACTGAGTATTTTGAATAAATTCATCGATATCGCTATTACCACTAGTCCAATTATCAAAATCTTGTTGATACCTTTTGGAATTACAAGTATGACACCAACCATATCCCGTATTCACTTGATTACAATCTTTGCATTTTCCATATATCTTTTGTTGCATTATTAATTCGGTGTCTTCCATGACGATCATGTAATTTTTTGTGTGCGGATCTTGAGTTATTCCATAATATTTGTTTCCGAATTCAATGATAAATGAACGAACAACTTTGATAAATTTTGTAGAATCTTTCGAATCGTCCAAAATCTTAAGAAAGCATGATACATCTCTCCATGCGGCTTTATATACCGAGTCTTGTACGGCGCATTTAACATTATAAAACTTATCATAGGGTATCCACTCTAATATTTCATCACTACTTTTTGCTGCCAACTGAGTATTTTGAATAAATTCATCGATATCGCGATTACCACTAGACCAATTATTGAAATCTTGTTGAAACCTTTTGGAATTACAAGTTTGACACCAATAATATCCCGTATTTACTTGATTGCATATCGTACAATATCCCCATCCAAAATTATCTAACCGATCATATAAAAGATCATCATCGTATAATGTTATTCGATTCATACTTCAATATACCGTTATTATTTTTTAATAGTGAATTATGAATTTGTATGTACGGTTTATAAATGAAAAATAAATAAAAATATAGGGACAAATATTTGTGTAAAATGTGAGGTTACATGTGATGCGGAATTATTTTCCTTTTTAGAAAAAAAGTGACGTCTTGTTTACTAGTCGGAAATTTAAAAAAGAATGTAATGGTAATTAAACGTAGGTGAATACGTGAATTACGTGAATTTTTGATTAGTTGAAAATTTTTTTCAAAACTTTTCGCAAGTGAAATAAAACATTTCCTATTTCCCAAATTAAAATAAATAAATGTTTTCGCTTGTCGATCATTATTAATATTGAAGCTTCGGACGAAGTTATAAATTTGGTTATCAATGTAACGCCTTATATGCTGATCATCTGCTTAATTTGACTTTGAAGCGTGGGAGATACACCATTAAAATTTGACCGTGTGTTGCTGTGCAACTAACGCCGACCATTCTGTGTTACTAAATTATATTCAAATAAGAATAAAGTTACTGCATTTGGTACACAGGCAGGTTAGTAATTTAGAAAACTTCGCTTTACTTGTAAATATGAAAACCGACATAGATAAATATAGTCCCACCGCTTACGTTGTTTAGTTAGATAAGGCAATATCAGAAGACTATGATTATGCAAAGTTCACTAATAAGGAAGAAATTAGCAGTGGTTCTTATGGAAATATTTCTCGTGCAAACTGGAACGGTTCCGATACCGTTATGGTTCTAAAATTTTCATATAATTCAGATATTAAGAAATCGTTAATGAGGTATACCTTTAACAGATATTACAATGTAATCAATTCTCCTCTTTTACAAATTTTCTTTAACGTAAACATAATAGATAAAAATGCAACGTGAGGCTGATTATCATGCGAATATCATAAAATTCTATGGAATATCAAAATTAGAAACGGATTCCATTAACCAAATAAATAAGTATTTGTTGGTTATGGATTACGCCGATGGCGGATCATTGCGATCTTATTTGGAAGAAAATTTTGAAAAACTTAAATGGAATGATAAATATAAATTAGCCTTTCAACTTGCAAATGCTGTAGCATGCATACATGATGAAGGAATCATTCATTGTGATTTGGTAGTGTGTTAGTCATTTAAATTATCACGTCTTTATTTTTATTATCCATACTAAATATCATGAACATTATACATATAGCATGCGCAAAATATACTTTTACATCAGAATAATGTAAAGCTAGCGGATTTTGGTTTCTCTCGAAAGATAACTGATGCAACTAATAATTTAACGAATGTGTTTGGTGTCGTTCCTTACATTGATCCAAAATCCCTGAATAATATTATAAATAAAAATAAGGGCCAACCATATTAATTAAATACAAAATCCGATGACTACAGTGTTGGAGTTCTTCTTTGGCAAATTTCAAGTGGACTTCGACCTTTTTATTCCAAAGACAAAGAATATGATGTAAATTTAGTTATAGATATTATAAAAGGTCGAAGAGAAACAATTATCAAGGGTACTCCTACCAAGTATAGTGACTTATATAAAGGTAAATATGAATATTACTTTTTTGTTTATATAATGATTTATATAACAATATTTAAACTTTATTAGCATGTTGGAATGATGATCAAAATAAACGACCATCTATGAAACAAGTTGTTGAATCACTTAGAGCAATTATTTTTGATGATATCGAAACATTCTAGTCTATTATTCATACAGAAATTCAAACAGTATCGCATTCTAAATCAGCATCTTTAAGCACGGAGTGCATGCTTAGTAATAATTCCGAGTTGTTTTTAAGTAACTTAATACAAGAATACAACTTAGAATCAATAGATAATGACAGCAATTTACATGTATTACATCAAGCTAAAAAAATATTTTAGAAACATTTGATTAAAAGAAAATATGGATTTATTCATTGATAAATTGATTGAACTTTTAATTAAAACACAAGATAAGGGAAATGATTTTAATGAAACAAAGCTTTTTATTAATCAATATATATTACTTTCAAACCAAAATTCAAATGAAATTTTTGAATGGCTTAAAAAGAATCAAATGGATTCTAAATATATTTTTCTTTTGTGATTTTTTTATTTTAATAATATTAATTTTGAAAACAATGAAGATGAAGCATTTAAACTATTTTTAAGTGCTTCAAGAAATAATTATTCTATTGCACAAGTTTATCTTGCAAAATGTTATGAGAATGGATATGAAATTGAAATAAATCATGATTTAGCATTTAATTGAATTCAAAAATCCATAAAAAATAAAAGTATTTTTAGACAAATTACTCTTGATATATATTATGAAAATAATATAGGAATTAATATAGATTTTAATAAAGCTTTTTATTGGTATCAAGAAGCAGCCAATAATAATTTAAAGAGATTATATAATTTAGGTAGATGTTATGAATTAGAAAAGGAACTGAAAAAAATGAGATTAAAGCATTTGAAATATATAATATATTATCTGAAAAAGAATATATAATTGGAAAATATAGACTTGGAATTTGTTATTATTTAGGAATTGGAACTAAAATAAATAAAAAAAAAACATTTAAAATATTTGAAGATTTAATTAAAATAGAGTATAATTATGCACAATATAGTCTTTGTTATTTATATAAAAATGGTGAAGGAATAAAAAAAGGATTTAGAAAATGCTTTTTATTGGTATCAAAAAGCAGCAGAAAATAGACATAGTTCTACACAGAATGAACTTGCAATTTTATATAAAAATGGTAAAGAAACTGAAAAAAATTTCAATAAGGCTTTTTATTGGTATCAAAAAGCAGCATAAAATAGACATAGTTTTACACAAAATAAACTTACAATATTATATAGAAAAGGTGAAATAATAGAAAAGGATCTTAATAAGACTTTGTATTAGTATCAAAAAGCAGCAGAAAAAGGAGATATAGTCGCGTTATATAATTTAGGTGAATGTTATGAATTAGGTAAAGGTGTCGAAAAAGATGAATTTAAAGCATTTGAGTATTATCAAAAATCGGCTGAACAAGGATATTTGGATGCAAAATATATTCTTGGATATTATTATATAAATGGAATTGGGACAAAGATTAATAAAGAGAAGGGCTGAAATTATATAATGAGGCGTCTAGAAAAAACGAAAATGATACGCAAAGTACTCTCAAATTATATGAAAATGGTCAAATAATGAATGATATAGATGAGGTTAATTACTGGTATCATAAAGCAGCCAACAACAATTATAAAGAAGCATTATATAAATTGGGTGAACTTAATGAAATAGGAAAAGGAGTTAGTAAAAATTTAGTTAGGGCATTTGAATTTTACAAGAAATCGACTAATCTAGAATATTTAGAGGCGCATTATAAAGTTGGATATTTTTATGAACATGGAATTGTAGTTGATATTAATAAGGAAAAGGCGTTTGAAATATATAAAATAGCTGCTAAAGGAGATGAACATAGTGCAAGAGCTAAAAAATGTAAATAGTGCTATTTATTATATTTATTCGTTTATTTTTTAATTTTTTTTGTGATAGTTAGAATTTCAGATAGTTTCTTCTCTGCCGTAATGGTAAAGCATTAAACGATATTTATTACTTTGTATTAACACCTTAAAAATCCAGTTCGAAATTCATTTTCAATTACGAAATGCATAAATAACAAAAATTAATTTAAATAATACTATTACTATAAAAGTTACATAATTGCTTGCTAATTCATGTAAATTACGTTACTTTTTTTTTTTAAAAAAAAAAAGTGAATCATACATTGGGATGCGCTTTCAACTAATTAAATCAAACTATGTATGGTCCTATAACAAAAATTATTTTTGAAGACTTTTTTATGTTAAGCTATTTTATAGTATAATTTAAATTATGGGAATTTGTATTTTGCGCACCCTGCACACTCTTATGTGTTTCATTTTTTACGGTTTATTCTTGGACAGAGAATTTTTTATAGAAAAATTTTATTTGTCACCTCTTATATAACACACTCCTATATTTTGTGCAGGTGCGTAGAAAATAAAGACCCTTAAATTATTTTATAATAAATAATAAATTTACTTTTAACGAAGCTATATTTTCTTTCTTTAATAACTCTGGAACTTTCTTATCATTTCATTTTTCGAAAATATTCCAAATATCCGTCTCTTTCACAAAATAGATCGCTTTTTTTAAAAAAATTCATTAATACCCCGAAATTAATAAATTAAACCTTCTAAATAAAATAAAAATTTTTATTACGTTAGTTTTGAAAAAAACGATGTATTTTATGTTTCTTAAAATTATCATGTACCCATTCAACTTTACTGCGTTACTTAAATGTTAATAGAGTACAAGTTATTAAATTTTAAAGATTTCGGTTATT